CCCCCCCTGGGCCTGGAGCGTTCGGGCAGCGTAGCCTCGAACGAGGAGAGGGGGTGACGGCGGGAGCTGTGCTGCTCGTGGAGCTGGGAGCGCCCGCTTCGGAGCTTGTTCCCTTCCCTGTAACAGCGGCGATGGAGCAAAACGTTGCCGAAACAGAAATCTCTAGATGCACTATTTTTTTAAATGAATATACGTATCCGTACTAAATCTATATGATGTTTAGATTTTAAAAAATGCCCTTTCTGACATTAAAGTGTTCCTACAGCTCAAGTTCAGTCAAGAAAGTAGCGACTTCTTCAAGGTCCCTCCCCTGTCACTTCCTACTCTTCCAATACGTAGCCCAGAAGAGCCAGCAGCGTCTCGGCAGGAATATAAGTGGAAGGCAGACCTCAGTTCTCCTTTCTCCAGCGCAGCTTTGAGCGTCCTCCGGTTCTTTTCCCCTGGGTAGAGGTACAAAGCCTTCGGGACTCGGCTGTTTCCGCAGCCCGCCGCCCCTAGCCAGCCGCCCCTCGCGCCCTCTCCTTTCCCTGCAGCAGCCTCTCGCGCAGTATGTTTGACCGGAGGCAGATATTCGAGCAATAGTCTTTGTTTTGAGATGGAGATTTTAAAAAATTGCATTATCTGTAGGTATTCTAGTTTTGTATTCTCGTCCTAACAAGCCTATTTTGGTTTTTTTTTATATATTTTTTTATATGCAGCCTCTTTACACGACAGTATTAATGTTTAACGCGTTTATAAATGTGATTGTAAACGGTGTGGAGTTGGTTTTTGGGTTTGGTGGTTTGTTTTTTTTTCCCCGGCTGGCAATACCTAGACCTTGTATTCGGATTTAATCGCTTGCCCTAGAAATAGCGCCGAGTCGAACCTCTCCCTACCAGCGCTTCCACGCCGGCGTGTAGCGTTCCGCCCCGTGAGACGGCGATTTATCCCAGGGCCTGACCTCGCGAGGGAGGCGAACTCCCGAGAAACCTCCCAGCCCCCTCCGCCGGCAGGTTTTTGTGCCCTGCCTGGTGCTCTTTGCTTTTCGCCGCGCTTCCGAGTGTTTGGGGCGTCGGGATTTTAATGCTTTTTAAGCCAAACTCCCCGCGGCTCTCCCGTCCTGCGGTGCCCGGTCGTACGCGAGCTGTTTCGGATGCCTCGCTACTGCCGGCAGCCGCTCTGTTCCATTCGCCCTGGCAGAAGGGAAAAGGAAAACCCGATATTCCGTGGCGTGTGTTTTTGGCAATTTTGGTTTTCAGTCTCCGGGTCCCACTCGGAGGGCGACAAAATGAACAAATCCAGGTTTTCTCGGCATCCAAAATGGGTTGTTCTCCTTGTTCAGGCTACGTAATTAAATGCCAAGCTGAAAGGATAAATCGCCGTACGGCGCTGTGGTTTGTATGTATGATTTTATACAATAAACCAATAGATTTTGGGGTAGCTGCCGTGGTGGCTTCTCTCTTCTTCTGGGCCAGAAGGGGCAGATCGTGCCCCCGACCTCTCCTTCGAATCGTCCCCGTGCAGGGGCTCGTACCCCGGGAGCAGCCGGGCCCGCGG